CAGAAGAACATTCTAAACTGGGGAAAGTGGGTATCCTTGGTTTAGGGTCCTATTAGGGTACATGGTGGGCCTGAGAGTCATTTGGGGAGAAGTGACAGAGACGGACGGATGCCCTGTGCCACTTCTCAGAGTCTGCACCTCCATTCCCTGCGTGGTTGCCTTGGGGCTGCTGTCACAGGTGGCCACACGCCAGGCGGTTTAAAACAACAAACATTTATTCCCTCGCCATTCTGGAGGCAGAAGTCCAAGTTCAAGGTGCCGCAGGGCCCTGCTCCCTCAGAGGCTCTAGGGAGGCTCCTTCCTGCCTCTCCCAGCTTCTGGGGAGCCAGGCATCCTAGGCTTGTGGCCGCATCACCCCAATCTCTGCCTCAGTCTTCACACAGCTTCTCCTCTGCACGTCCAATCTCCCGGCGCTTCTCTTTTCTAAGGCCGCTTGTGAGTGGGTTTTGGGCCTGCCCTCATAATCTAGGGTAATCTCCACATCAGGGCCCTTCATCACACTTGCAAAGGCCCTTTCTCCTTGTGCGGTCACATCCACAGGTTCTGGGAGTGAGAGATGCTGTCTTTGGGAACCATTCTTCAGTCCATGCAACGCGGAGGCCTGGGGAAGCCATCCTTTAGAACAAAAAGCTTCATCTTGGGGTAAGAGTCCCTCTTGGAATTGCGTCCCTAGACTGAAGAAACTGGACTGGACCTCCTGGCTGTCTGACCATAGGCCTGTCACCTGGTTATCAGAGCCTCAGTTTACTCATCCACGGAGTGGGGATGACACTGTCCCTTACTCCCGGCTTGTTGTCTGGGTTTCATGAGAGCCTGCATGTAAGTGTTTGGCAGACCCCTGGCACACACTAAGCACGATGATGGCAAGCCCACCTGGGGTATCTGAGGTGACCTCCAGCCTTCCACCAGGGATCCGCTCAGGTGGGGAAAGGGGCTGGAGATTTGAGGCCAGGCCATGTCCTGAGGAGCTGTGGGAGGGGACAGCCTGCTGGCTCCCTGTGCTAATGAGCCCGCGGCGGGGCTGCCTGGCGCTGGCAGGCGGGCCCTCCTGGTGGCGGGGGGAGAGCTGTGAAGCTGCCCTGAGCTGAGCCTGGCTTTCTGTTCTCATCTTTCCATGGCAACGAGAGAGAGGGGGCCGGGATGTGGCGTCTCCCGGGGGAGCGTGGGCGCTGCTGTCTGCAGGCAGCCGGCTGGAAGGAAAAACCCGAGATCGGCAGCCCTGAGTGCAGCCCGTGCCTGACACGTGGCCCTCGCGGCAACGCAGGAAGTGCCTGTCCTCAGGTCACCGCAGGCCACATCGCCTTTCCAGTGTCTCAGAAGAGGAAACTAGAACAGAGAGGTCAAGGAGCTTGCCCACAAGCACACAGCTAGTTAGGTTTGGGACTGACACAGAGGGCTTCTGGCTGGTGGCAGCCAGCCCTCAGGGAGCTCATAGCCTTCCTGCAGGACCCTTGGCTTGAGTTCACTTGGCTCTGCAGAGAGGGGTCGTTGGGCCGAAGTGCAGGACCGGGCTCTATCTGATATGGAGAAAGGAGTGTGCACACCACACGATTTTAGGAAACCCTGGAATTCTGGGGACATCTGCCCAGCCTGAGTTCATTTTGGGTTCTGCCAGTTTGTCTTTTATTAGGGAGCTATGAAAGTGTGCAAGTAGTCTGTCCAGAGGGCATTTGAAACGCTCGCAGTGTCGCAAACCACAACTGAAAGGAAGGGATGAGAGAGGAAAATATGCAACAACAGAGACTGCAGACCCTTGGCGGCAGCAGGCAGCAGGTCCGGTTCCCCTGCTGGGCTGTCCCCTCTGACTGGCTGTCCATCGCTGACAAACCCCAGCCCCCGGGTCCCCTCCCAACCGCCCGAGATGGAGCAGCTCTCTGGCCACAGGGCTTCTTGGATTGATCCCAAATAAGCTTTCAGGCTCTCTCCACTCAGATTCCTAATTCCCCTCACTTGGACTCCACAGAAAAAGGAATTTCCCTCTTTCCTGCGAAAGCACCTTGGACATGGGAGATGCCTCACGTGCCGCCCTGTGAGCCTTCCCTGACGAGCGGCTGAGGACAGGGACCTTGCACCTGGTGTCAGGGGCCGACCCCAAGGTCTGGGTGCTTTCTGGGGTGTCCTACTTGCCCCTTGGGCTCAAGGTAACCCAGGAAGTTGACACTGGAGGTCAGGTGAGTGTTGCCCACGCAGGATGTAGCTTCCAGGGTTGGCAAGGAAGGGAAAGAAATGCCCAGAAGGTGAGATGTTATGTCAAGAGGAGAAACCCTGTGATCTGGAGACCCAGGGGCTCGGGGTCGCCCTCCCAGCAACTCAGGATGCCCGCGGTGGTGTTTCCGAAAGGGGCGCTCCTTTCTGTGTGACTGTCTTCGGTGCTGCTGGCCGGTCAGTTGTGAGGCGCACGTCACTGGTGCACGGCTTTGTTTTTAGAAAGTTCTGTTACTATGATGCTGAAATCTGCTTGCCCATGCGAGTGTCCTGGAGCCTTCCCTGGTGGGCAGCCCTGGCTTGGCCCTGGGCCTCACGGGCGCGCTGCCCGGGCCGCGGGGGGCGGTGCTCCTCTTGTGGGGTCCAGGGTTCCAGCTGGGCTCAGTCAGAGGGGCTGCAGGGAAGCTGTCCCAGCCGAGGGCAAGAAAACCACATGTGCTGAGTGCCCCCTGCACGTGGGCTTCGTTCCTCCTTCTTTTAAAGAAGGTCTCATCCTACTTCTGAGCTGTCTCAGCTTCATGAAATGCACCTGAGCTTGTAATAATCTGAAGCCTGAAGCCTGGGTAGGTTTTTCTTAAAACTCCATCTGCTTTTTAATTAGTGAAGATTCCTCCAAGATTTTCACATTAATGGCTCATCAATCTTAGTTTTGGCTGTTGGCTTCTGTGTGAGTACTGGTCCTCTGGCTGGGATGGCGGCAGGCGGGGCCCGCAGGCAAGTCGGAATCACTGAGGGCTCCCTCACGGCCCTGCCCAGTGGGCTCAGCCCAAGCTTTTACATCAGGAGGCACGAAAGCTGCCTGGTTTCCATGTCCAGCTTTCCCCACCCTGCTGCATGGTCGCCGTCAGAGCCGTTGGAGTGGACCGGCCAAGAGGGTGCGAGGTCGGGTCACGGAAGGTGGGTCTGGACCAGGGCAACACTGGCCTTGCCCCCCGCCCCTCAGGGTGTCATCTCTTGCAGGAGAACCCCAAACACCACGGTTCCCCAGTGACAGGGGGACAGGGACACAGTCTCACCAACCTTGTGTTTTCAGTTGTTTTTAAGTTAATAATTATTTAAAGCAAAGTAATACATACACATAGTTTAGAAAATCAGTTGTAAGTGTTGGGACAATGTTGGTTCCCACTCCTAGAGGGACCTGGAGAGGAATGTCCCAGGGACACGGTCCCGAGTGCTGTCTCCCTCACTCTCTCCTCTCTGAAGGGATGATAGACTTATTCAGCTGGTACCTCCGTCCTGCCCTCCTCTTTCCCCCGGGACCCCGTCTCTTTCAGGAAGCACGCTGTGGTTGGTTTCCGCGTGCTGTGAATTTCGTAGGAGCAGGTCATTATGTGGGGCCTGGGGTCTCCCAGGCTGCTCCTCTAAGTTGGGTTTCAGAATCAGAAGCCCATTGTCCCCTCCTGGTCCTTTTCCTCCAGCCTGTCCCATGTCAGCACTTGGTGGGAGGGAGGGTGCTGGGTGCTGGGCTTCCTCGAGCAGCCCCCATGTATCAAACGGCTGCTCGCAAAACAGCAGTTTCTGTGCCCCGTCATTTCCAGCCTATTTTAGACTTTTTTTGGGTATTTATCTTTATCTTCTGCTAACACACTCTTGGTCATTAGATGTCATCGAATGGGAAGTGGTCTCTGGAAGGATAACGTGGTTGAAGAGGGCTTGCCCCCCGACGCCTTCTCTCTCCCCTCCTCGATGCAGTGACATGTGGTTGGGTGACAGAGTCGTGTGCCTGTCACCCCATGAGCTCAGGGTGCTCTGCCATGCTCTGCCCTGTGTGGCTCCGAGTGTCCATGAAGATTGTCAACTGACTGTTTCTAGAGGCAGATCTGCTGGCGAGTTGGCCGTCCTTAGGGGACACTCCCAAACACCAGTATCTGGAACTCCTTCTTCTAAGAACATCTGATTTCTTCAGGGACTGGCTTTGCATGGTGCCTGGGAGGGTTAGCGGGGTACAGGGCTCTTCAGGGTGCAGACTGTCACCTGCCCCCCTCCCAGCCCTGAGCCTGGCTCCCGCCCTCCCCTCTGCTGGTGTTTCTGAGGCCGGAGCCCCCGGTGCAGTTCCTGCAGAGGGTCCCCTGAAGGCCCACCTGTGGAGCAGGAGAAGGGAGGTTTGGGAGGGGAGCAGTTTCCTGGTGGTGCTGGATGAGACTGGAGGGTCAAGAGCCCTGCTCTGTCGTCACTGCTCCTACTTCCTCGTCGCACGTTCCCTCCCAGCCTGCTCCTGCAGCTCCTGGCCCAGCTTTCCACTGGGGCTGTCAGGTCAACACACCATCGGCCTCCGTGTCGTCACTCTCAGCGTCGTGTCTGTTCTGCCTGACGTTTCAGCATCCTCCTCCCTTCAGAACACGTGCACGCACACACAAGTGCTTGAGCTTTCAAAAGTTGTGCAATTGAACCGTTTTCCTCTCCCTTTCATCGGCCTGCCTCCCACCCCCGCTCTGGGCCACCGTTCCTGCCGAATTCTTTGTGCATCCAGACACAGGTCATCTTCATGTAAGCACGTGTGTTTGTATAATCGTTTTTTATTTCCCACAAACTGTTGCATACTAGAGAAATGAACTTATCCTGAAATTTTTAAAATTCAAAAATATGTCTTAGCCATCGATGCATGTAAGTGTAGATAAAGCCGCCTCATATGTTGACAGTTGTGTACACTCCCACTGTGGGACTGTCCCACCGCAGCCTCGACCGCCCCTGTGGACAGGCGGGCAGCGGGTCCGACTCTGTGACGACACAGCGCTGTGGTGCGTGCGCTTGGCCAAGTCATCTCTCGCCCACGGGAGCGTGCCTGCTGCTCGGCTTCTCAGCCATGTCCTTGTTGAAGCAGGAGAGAGGTGCCCTCTAAATGTTTGCAAGCGTCGCCAAACTGCTGCGTGGGTCTGCGCTCTGACCGGGAAAGTGGACGGGTCCTATTTTTTCTCACTTTTTTTTTTTCTCACTTTTTGATCTGTGATGGGTGTGATAGATTGTTTCAGTCTCATCCATGTCTCCCCCTCGAGCAGGCCTTCCTTCCGCAGAGGCTGGAACAGGAACTGCATTGCTCACGTCCCTCGCCGCTGGTTTCCGGATGCCGGGTGGGTCTGACAGTTTGCCTCTCATCAGAGTCGGAGCGAGAAGGGTGAGGCCCCTCCTTGCGGCTCGGCCACTTCCCGCAGCGCGCACGGCAGCAGGCGTGCGGGTTCGCGCAGTCCCACTCTGCTCCAGTCGCTGGTCCTTTTGTGGTGATGGCAGCAGCAGCCTCCTGGGTGAGCCCGGCACCTGGGGGCCAGTTTCTAGGCCGTGCTCTGGTGGACGTTCCTAGAGGCCCAGCCTGGAGCCCTCTTCTCCAGGGTCCAGCATGTCGTGAGCTCCTCCTCCTCCTTCTTAAATTGCTGATGCGAGTGTTTCCTGCAGCTAAACCCCGGTTAGTATCACATGTTCACCACTTGTGCATGTGTGTGTGTGATGTGCATTCTGATTTTTTATAACAGCTTTATCAAGGTATTATTCACATAATGTTCACCTTTGTACAATTCAGTGGATTTTAGCATATACACAGGGTGGTGAACTCCCACCAGCATCTAATTTTAGAATCTTTTTATCACCCTGAAAAGAAACCCCGTACCCATGACAGCAATTCCTCATCTTCCCTACCCCCGCCCCCCCGCAGCTCCTGGCAAGCGCTGATCTGCTTTCTGTCTCTGTGGATTTGCCTGTTCTGGACTTTTCATATAAATGGAATCATATAACATGTGGTCTTTTGTGAGTGGCTTCTCTCACTCAGCATAATATTTTCAAGGTCGTCCGTGTTGCAGCGTGGATGGGCGCTTCGTTCCTTTTTATGGCTGCATCGTATTCCGTTGTGTGGATAGTCCCCATTCCGTTTCTCCATTCATTTGGTGGTTTCCACATTTTGCCTATCATGAATGCTGCTGCTGTGAATATTCATGTATAAGCTTTTGCGTGGACAAACGTTTTCATTCTCTTGGGTGTACACCTAGGTGTGGAATTGCCGGGCCGTATGGCAACAATGTTGAATCATTTGAAGAACCACCAGACAGTTTTTTCCAAAGCAGCTGCACAATTTTGCTGCCTCCACAGCAGTGTGTGAGGGCTCTGATTTCTCCGCATCCTCACTAACACTTGTCATTTTCTGCCTTTTTATTAGAGCCGTCCTCGTGGAGTGAAGTGTTACCTCCTTGGGGTTTGATTTTCACTTCCATGATCACTGAGGATTTTGAGCATCTTTTCTTCCGCTTACTTGACATGTGTATATCTTGTTTGGAAAAATGTCTGTTCAAATCCTTTGCCAGTTTTCAATTGGGCTATCCACTGTTTTATTGTTGAATTGCTTTCTGATTTTTATAAGGTGTGTATTTCTCTTCTAGCAGCTACTCTTTAATGTACCTTAGTAGAAAATACTTATCTTCTATTTCTTTGATCAAATCAATTGTTTCCTACTATAAACAATGAAATGACTACAGTATATTTTCAAAATATTTTTCCTCTCTTCTACTTCTTATCATTGTCACATTCTTATTTGCTTGTTTTTCTTGGTATTTACCATTATATCTTTAATATACTTTTGTCTCTGTTACTGGATTTATCTACTCTAAATGGTAACTTCTGACTCTCCATCTATCACAAAATAAAGCAAAAGAGAAAATCAGTGTACCTACTCCTCCAGCCAAAGCATATTAGATAACTTGATTTATCTTTTCATATTTTTCTCCCATATACTGCACATAACACACAACATATTTTCATGATTTATTTATGAAAATAGTATTAATACATAGTTTCAATCTCTTGTTTTCTCACTCAAAATAATTTGTGGAAATCCTTTTACATTTTCGAGAACAGCTAATTATTTTTAATGGCCTTATCGTGGTGATGGTGCAGGCCCACCACGTAGTTTCCCGCTTTGCTCTAATTGATGAACATTCACTTTACTGCTAGTTCTTGGTCAAAACAACTATAATGAGAACGTTTGCACATTATTAAATCATCTGAAAAACATTTGTGGCTGGATATGTCCTTATATGGTGGTCCTTTTATTTCTATTGGTGCTTTTGAGAGGGTCCCCAATAAATAGTAGCTTTCTTCCTCATCTAGATTCTAAACACATTTAAAACATAAGAAAATAGTTATGGAGGTAAAAATCACCTTTATTACTTGTAGCAGCTAAATTGGAGGGTGTGACATTAGATCTCTGCCAAGGTGGGCTTCCCCTGGAGGCCAGCGATCAGGCTGCCTTCAGGTCCCATCATGGTGACAGGGGCCTTGCTCAGGCGAGGGGAGCCCCAAAGCAGCCTCACTCCTGTGAAGAGTGGGTGGAGCTGAGCCCAGTGCCTGGTTGTCCGTCCTCATATCCTGGAGCCGTCTCCCCAGGCTGCAAGGGTAGAGAGAACCAGAGTTGTGAGGTCGCAGTGCGTGCTCAGGGCACCCTCTCCACATGGACAGCAGGACTAGGAAACACCATGTCCCTTTGCATTGTTCTTGGGAGAGAATCCTGACAAGGAATTGTAGGACAGGGAGTAAGTATTTATGTGCCAATCCACATCATCTCCACCAGCGATGTTGTGTGTCTGTCACAGTGAGGACTATGCTCCTCCCAATTTGGTTTGTGATGAGAGTGAGGTGGTGTCTTCTTGTTGCCACCATTGCCCATTTTCTGAGGTACTGGTGGTCTTGGAGTCTTTCTCTCCCTGAGGCATCCCTTTGCCTGGCTTCCTCACTGGCCAGTCCTTTTCAGTGTCCCTGCTGGGATCCTTGACCCTCTCTGCTGCTTTCTCCTCTGCTTGACCTCGGACACTGGACATCCCTGCACCTCTTCCCAGCACCCTCTCATTTCTTTTTGTAAACTCTCCTCGGTGGCTGGTCCTGTCCATGGCTTCGTGTCCTCTGTGACCCCTGGTCCAAACTCCCTCCTCAATGCACAGTCGGCTACTGGGCACCTCCACATGGGCTCTGACAGGCATTTCAGTCCCACTTGGCCAGGACAGAATTCTTTTTCCTCCTCCACCCAGTGTGTTCCCGAGTCTTCTCCATCTTAGCAAATGGCACCCTCATGCATCCAGTTTCTGAAGCCAAAATATTGTGTTTTCCAAGCTGCCTCTCTTCACCCCACACACCATTTCACAGAGACAGCTTCTGACTTCCTTCCAAAATGCCCCAAAAACCCATTTCCTCTCTCAAAGGCTGCCACCACCACCACCACAGGAGGCTAAGCCACTGTTATGTGACTGCTGGACTATTATAAATGCCTCCAAATTGCTCGTTCTTGACATTCCTCCTGGCTGTCCCGAACGTCTGCCTCCCTGTCCAGAAGCTGAGAGTGCAGCTAGTGAGCCAGCCCCAAAGGCACAGCACGGTCCCCTGGGCCACAGGTGTCAGGCTGCACCTTGGGGGTGGAGGAGGGTGGGAGCAAACATGGAACGGGCACAGCTGGCGATACCGTTCCTGGAGTTGCTGCTTCTAAGCTTGGCTTTGAGGCTCCTGGTTAACAGTCAGTCACCCTGATCCTTTCAGCAAGTGCTTTTCCAGGTGGCAGCAGCTGGAGTTGTTCCGGGCTGCTCACCATTGGAGCCCCGGGCCGCTCACCATTGGAGCCCCGGGCCATCCTGGCGTTCCCACAGCCCGGTCACCCCTACACTCCATTCTTAGACAACAATCCTTTAGAACACAGCGAGGCCACATTATCACTCTTCTCCTGTCCCATCTAGTATAAAATTTGGCCTGCTCACCCCGGTTTACAAAGCCCGCATGGCCTGGTCTCACCCATGGCTCTGTGCCATAGTCATCTTCTTGAAAGTTACTTACGCATTTAGCGAAAATGTGTTGAGACCCTCCTGGCTGCTGGGCCCGGATGAGGCCCCCGAGCCCACGGGGCATGCTCTCCCTTCACCTTCTCGGATCTTCACTTCGTCCTCCTACTTCCTGGATGAGTCTCCTCCCAGATTCCCACGCAGCTGGCTTCCTCTGTCCATCTGATCTTGACCCAAACGTCCCCTTCCTGGAGAGGACTTTCGTGACCACCCATCTAAGAAAAAAACCAAGACGCCCCTTGGGGCCTGGGGCCCGGCCCTGCTCTGACCGTGCCTGGCTGACCGTGGCGTATCTGCTTTCTGCCCTGAATCTGTTTCCCACACATCCCTCTCTTTGAATTCTCTACTCAGCATTCGCACCATCTATGCTTTTCCCATCATGGTTTATGCAAGCATTTATTTGCTTGTTTATTATCTAATTTTCCCAACTAGGATCTAAGCTCGGGGACAGCAGGGCCTGTCTCTGCTCACCACGACACGATCAGCCCAGAGAGTGGTGCCCGGAAGACCGTAGGGCTGGCTTCTGTGAGAACCCCTCAGCGTTGCTCCCGTGCCTCGTCCGGCGGCTCCCAGCTGCTGGCTCCAGGGCCGAGCCTCCGTGGCCTCCAAGGTAGATGGCTGGGCTCACTTGGCAGCTCGACCTTGTCTGTGGTGCTTAACTTTCCCTCTTGTCTCTTCTGCCAGTCATGCAAACTTCCTCCACTAGTCTGCATCTTCCAGAAATTCCTTGAGATCTCTTGTCCACTGATGTCTCTCTCTCCCTCCCTTCCCTTTGTGTTATTGCTTTACACATTTTCAAAGACTCCTTTATGATTTCAGTGAAGTTTTGAGGAAGAGCGATCAATGCCTCTTCCTTGTCAAACTGGAGTCCTAATGCCTTTGCTCGTGGGAGGTAGCAGTTCAAAGGCAGAAAGTGAAGGCCCTGGTCATACGGCCAGAGCAGAACTGGGTCTCAGGTCTCTACAGTCCTTGTCACTGTCACCACCCCCATGCTCCCAACTTAGTTTATGTTCTGGGTAATGCTCTAGAGTCTCCTGCTCCATGTACACAGTGTGTGGCCAGGAGGCCACAGGACTCATCCCAGTGCAGTCAGTAATTTCGTCCTCTAAGTAAAGCTGTCACGCTCAGAGGCTCCGTGGACCTCGAGGCTCCTGGGCAGGGTGAGAGGGTGGCCAGGGAGCACGCAGGAGCAGCCCCTTCTCATGTGCTTTCAGGTCTGGGCTCTCCCACCCACTAGCTACTCAGAAACGAGAACTGAGGTCAGAGGTACTTTGAGGATATCCATGTGTCGTTGTTACTATTCAATTATAAATTCCACATGTTGGGAAGAAAGGAAGTACGGAAAGGGTGAATTTCACTCCCAAAGAATCTGTCTTAGAAATCTAACATCAGCCTGCGCCTCTTCCTGATTCTCCAGCAGTGACAAGGGACGCTCCCCACCCTGAGGCCCCAGGTCATGCTCACTGGTGGCTGGACTGCTGTCCCAATGATTTTCAGTCACCTTAGTTTGGAATCTGTGGTGTGGGGCATTGACCAGCACCTTCTGGGAGGAGCCCTCTCTCCCCACTTCCCTGTTTCCTGATGCAGCTGGTCCTCAGCTCTTAGAGGAAGCCTAAGGCTCTGTTCTCAACCCTCTTTCCAGCTGGGCTGCAGCCATGGGGAGGAGCAGGGCAGCCTAAGTATTTGTTTCCCGAGGTCACGGGGTGGCCACAGGCGCTGCAGGAAGCCACGGCCAGCCAGGGTCCTGTGCACACCTCTCCCGCCTTGACCAAGTCGTGTTGTACTAGGAATCCACATCAGTGGAGCTTTGCTGACAGCTAATGAAGAGGATTGAGAAGCCACTGTGGCAGCATCATGCTGAGTCCTGCTTGGTGAGTAATCACTGTCCTACGTTATGAAAAAGGTTATCAATCCATTTAATCCCCTGGGCCCCAATCGCCTGGCTTAGGTCTGGGTACAGGTTGACCCTCAATTCTTACTTGGATGTAGAAGAGGAGGTCATTTTCTCTTGGCTAGTCAGACTCTTGCAGATGAAATAATAAAAAGTCTTCCTAGGAATACGATTCTACACACAATTGAAATTGAGTGTAACAAACACATTGGAAGACATGAGCAGGAAAATTCCACTCTTCTGGGAAAGGAACAGCACCCAGTCTCCACCAGCAGCACTCTGTCTTCCATCAGTAGCACTCAATCTCCACCAGCAGCACCCAGTCTCCACCAGCAGCACTCTGTCTTCCATCAGTAGCACCCAATCTCCACCAGCAGCACCCAGTCTCCACCAGCAGCATCCAGTCTCCACCAGCAGCACCCAGTCTCCACCAGCAGCACCCAGTCTTCCATCAGCAGCACCCAGTCTCCACCAGCAGCACCCAGTCTCCACCAGCAGCACTCTGTCTTCCATCAGTAGCACTCAATCTCCACCAGCAGCACCCAGTCTCCACCAGCAGCACCCAGTCTTCCATCAGCAGCACCCAGTCTCCATCAGCAGCACCCAGTCTCCATCAGCAGCACTCAATCTCCACCAGCAGCACCCATTCTTCCATCAGCAGCACCCAGTCTCCACCAGCAGCACCCATTCTTCCATCAGCAGCACCCAGTCTCCACCAGCAGCACCCAGTCTTCCGTCAGCAGCACCCAGTCTCCACCAGCAGCACCCAGTCTTCCGTCAGCAGCACCCAGTCTCCACCAGCAGCACCCAGTCTTCCGTCAGCAGCACCCAGTCTCCACCAGCAGCACCCAGTCTTCCGTCAGCAGCACCCAGTCTCCACCAGCAGCACCCAGTCTTCCGTCAGCAGCACCCAGTCTCCACCAGCAGCACCCAGTCTTCCGTCAGCAGCACCCAGTCTCCACCAGCAGCACCCAGTCTCCACCAGCAGCACCCAGTCTCCATCAGCAGCACTCAGTTTTCCATCAGCAGCACCCAGTCTCCATCAGACCAAGATGGACAGTGGTTGAACTGAAGAGCCACTGAAACAGAGACTTTGGTTGTTCTTCATTAGAGTGCACAGCTCCACTTCAATGTTTAAATTAGTCAGATATTTGAAAGCAAGGTGTTTTACTGGAGATTGGAAGTGTTTGGAGCTGGTGGACACTGCCTCCACAGAGACTGCCTGAGGACACGAGGCGGGAGAGAAGGGAGCTGGGTTGGGAGACCTTGGGAGGCAGGTCATTTGTGTGAAGGTGTTTCAGCTGCCAGAGCTGCGAGGAGGGGGCTCTCCAGGGGTGCTGTGGGTGGAGTGAGGCTCTTCCAAGGGTCCTGGAGCAGATGGTGATGCTGCAGAAAGGAGGTTTGATGAACTCGTTTCCAGCGCCCCTTCCAACCCTGAAATTAATAAAAACAGGTCCCCTCTGGGAGTCAGCTCCAAATCGGATGCGTAGGATCGCCACCCACTTCTCGTCCCTGGGCAATGACCAGAGAACAAGGCCCCTCATCAGCATCTCCTCAACGGGCATGGCAGTTAATAAATAACGGTCAGGTCTCTCACCCTCCAATTCGTCAAAAACTCTGCGAACAGTTAATTTTATTAATTCTTTTTGTCCTGTATAACCTCTTATGAGTGTTGTGTGCCAAAGAGGGAACACAGCGAGAACCGGGTTTATAGGTCGTTTTTGGAGTCTTTGTAGCCACAAGCATTTGAGGTTCTTGAGGACAGAGGAAGGTGTGCGTTTGTCTTTATGTCTCCACCTCCTGACAGGGGCCCGTAGTCGGTGGTTATTAGTCAAAATTCCTTAAATCCTGACCAGAGCGATTCTTTCCATGAGCCCAGGTCCGGGAGTTCACAGCCTCAGGCTCGGTGTCCGTACTCGGCAGGACTCAGTTCTGTCCGTATGTAATCAGAGCCTGATTTTATTTGTCCTAAAACAACTCCATTTGGGTTTCAAAGAACGCCTCTGTGTTCCAGAGTCTCATTAGTCTTGGTCACTTAGTTGGCTTGAACACATTCCCTCTCGTTCTTTATCTGCCGAGCAACTGCAAGACCCTCAGATAGGGAGTGGACTCTTTTCAATCTAATTCAGTCCAAATTAACAGTTGGGCACGTTTTAGTCACTATTGCTGTGTGATAAATTAGTCCAAAACTTAGTGGCTTAAAAGAAAAAGCTTGCTGGGTCTCCCAGTTTCTGTGGGTCAGGAAGCCGGGCACGACTCAGCTGGTCCTCTCTGGGGGGGTCTCTGTGGGTCACAGTCGGGTGTCAGCAGGCTGCAGTCGTCCCAGGCAAGGCTGAGGGGCCACCCTCGTCCCGGCTCCCTCACGTGACTAGGGGCAGGCCTCCTGTCCGGCGGAGGCTGCCCGAGCTCCCATGCTGTGTGAGCCTCTCCATGGCTGCTCACAAGATGGTTCCCTGGTGCCAGGGCTCTGATAGCCACAGGGAGCTGGTGACCAAAATCATCAACTTTTGTGACCTAACCTCAGAAGTGACATCCAACCACTTTTTGCTCTGTCGTAGTTATGATAAAAGAGTCGATAGGTCCCGCCCGCAGGCAGGGCCAGGGGACCACGCAGGACGTGACGCCAGGACATGGTAGAGGAGTCTCAGAGACTGCCCACCAGGAACCCTGCTAGCCATGGGAGTCGCAAAGATGAGTAAGATGCCGTTCCCGGCCTCAGGGATGTTATCATTTAGTACGAGAAGCAGATATATAAACAGACTCACTTTGGCATAGTATTTAAGCCAAATAATTTTAAAAGGTATAATGGTAGCTCAGAGTGAGATGATTCAACTCTCTTGACAAAGGGTGGGGAGAGGGAAGGCAAGGAAGGCTTCCTGGAGGAGGTGAAGGAACTGGTATTTAAAGAACAAATATCACTCCCCAACCCTAGACAGAGTTTACCGGGACCAAGTTGTGTTGAGAACTGGCTCAGCTGGCAGCCCCAGAGTTCACAGTGCTCCTTTCCCTCTGGGAAATGTCTGCATTTCTCATCTAAATGCCCCCAAGAAATGGTTGAGAATGAGTACAGCAGAGCACCATGCTCTCCTCCAGTGGCAATATTAATATTAAAAGTACATAACAGCAGCGTTTCAACATTGGGACCCAGTCAGCCTGCATTATACTCTTGCCGAAATAGCCTTGTAAACATCAAATTTCGAGAAAGTGAAGGAAATTATGTTAATCATATTCCTAAGAGCACTCGAGCATGAGGGCTGTTTATTGAAAATATTGACAGGAAGAAAACAGCCTGTTGGAGTGAGCATCCCTTCGGGCTTCCCCGGGAGTCACTGGGGGAATTTGAAAGGTCCCCGCTTGATGCTGGGCAGGCTGATGGAGGAAGGGGGGCCGGCAGCTTGGTGCGGGGTCAGGACATGAAGGGCCTGCAGTGAGATCTCCATCTTCAGACCTGGAGGGATCCCCTACCCTCCCAGGGCCGGTCGGGGCCTCAGGGCTGGTGGCCGTCTCCCTGCCCGGCACGTGGGTGAGCAGCGGCACGGCCAAGAAGGAAGGGGCTGCCCAGACGCCCTCAGGTGGGCCTTCCTGGCAGCAGGTGTCCAGGGCTCACCTGCACCTGTGGGGAGGCCACCCGATTGGAGCCCTGGGTCCCCTGGGCTTCCGCCTCGCCCCAGCCTTCCACTGCAGTGTTCACCAGCAGGCATCCTCTTGGACCCCGCTCCCTGGGTGCCAGGATGGCATCATCTTATCTCTGGTTTTCTGAGTCTAGGATGGTGCATGGTTCAGAGTGCTTACCCGTCACAATTCACTGAAAATAGCATCTAATTGGGCAAGTCATCGGTAGGCCATCTCAACTCTATAAGAGGGAGAAGAAAGAGAACATTCCAGAATACAGAGCTACACTTCTGTCCCTCCATCTGTTGACAGAGTTGCTGCTGTTGGAGGTGAGTGTACAGCTCTGAGGACAGACTCCGATCAGCTGCCTGCGCTGGCCTGGGCTTTGTGATCCTGGACTCACATCCCTGATCTGCGGGGATGGAGACGACGAAGCCACATGCCACAGCATGTGGAAGGGATTTATTGTGCTCTTCATGCCCAGGCTCGATGAGCGCCTGCACGAGGAGGGTCAGGGATGGGGAGCCGTCATTACTACCTTGCTGCAGCACCCGGTACATAATTTAACCCTGTCCTGGTTTCAATGAGTCTTAAGAAAAGCCGACTTGAACTGAATTAAGCATAGGTGGGGTCCAGGAGCAGCAGGTGGGACCAGACCCAGGAAAGTAACAGGAAGGTGCCCGGACAGATGGCCTCCCAGCCGCGTCGTCTCTCATCTCTTGCTGCTTCCTTCTGTCTGTCTGTCTGTCTCTCCCTGCGGACTGGCCACTTCCGACGTTCTGCGGGTGCGGCTGAAGAAGGCTGCCCCATGGCTCGGCAGTCACCAGGCCCCATAAAAGGACCTAGAGAGAGAATCTGAAGTGGCCCCACTTGGCCAGACTTGCCCTTCCTGGTCCAAACAGCAGGGCTGGGGCCACGGGTCATTGGCACAGAAGTGTCTCTGAGACTCGTCTCTCTGGACGAGGAAGAGCAGCTCTCAGAAAGGGGCACCGCTACGCCCAGAAGACGTGGGCTACACACTCGAACGTGACCCTGTTCATTATGATTTATCAGGACGCCTTCGCTCCCCTTTGAGTTAGGGAAACAGACTCAGAAAGGCCTGCTGTTATTTTGGGGTTTGGGGGTTATATGTAATTTGTGTTTTCTTCTTCATGCTTTTTATTCTGTTTTCTAAAATTTTTGCCATGAGCAAATATGGCTTTTATAAAAATAAAACTTTATCAAGGTGCTTAGCTTCCCTCAGTCACAGCTCCTCTGGGAGTTCTTGGAGGTGACAGATACTGCGGGCCACCCACTCAGTGCTGGTGACTTTGGGAGGGCTGATTGGGGTGGTGATGATGGAGGTGGGCGAGTGGCCCCCGGTTGGGGGAATGAGTGTCTATCAGCACAGTCTGGCTCTATCTTGGTTGCAGCATTCAGCTGAGGCCTTTCTATGGGTAAATCATTATGACTTGTTTAAAAATACCCTATTCGAACCCATAAAATGCCCGATATTTACATTCGGTTAAAAATAGCTTCTTTATTAAAAAGGAACTTAAAAAAATTCCCTGAAAGTTTTTAAGAAATCTATAAAGGGAAGACACTTGCAGAAGTGGTTAATTATATACTTCTGTAAAGCTGTTGGGGCGTGTTTATTATTTTGTTTTTGGAATTAGATGTGAAATTCGTGAATGAGAACAATGGCAGCTGACAAAAGCATCAGGAAGGAAGTCAGCACAAATTGAGGGCTAACAACCTGTAAAGAAGAAGATCGTGCAGAAGGACAGGCTGGTCCTGGGCTGGGTCTGGGTGAGCCCCTCCTTGGAGGGAAGCGAAGGGGATATAACCTGATCGTGGACACAGTTATGGTGTCGAGGTTCCAGTGCCCACTGACCCATGTAGGAACTCTGCTCCCTGCACAATTTCCCCAGAATATTTTATTTTCTTTGATGTTCCCAGAGGTGTCTCACCTGAAATAACAGGCCTAGGGACCTGCACTGGTAGCTGCTTCCTTCTTCCACTCTCCACTGCGTCAGGCACCCCTGCCTTCAGGAAGTGCCCCTCCACCAACTCTACTAGGCTTGAAGGGGTGGCTCCTTTTGTGGCCACCTCTGCCACTCCACCTGGATGTCACTGGACTAGCCTGGCACTACGTCTCTGCGAGGCACCTGCCTGCTTGTCCTGGCGTCTCTGCTGTGCTGGCTGGTGCCCCTGGCGTGCACAAGCTCTTAGGCTGCGAGAACCAAGGATGCTTGGTGATAAACTGCAGGAGGCGGGCATTCCTCTCCTCGATCTCACAGAGATGGAGAGGGCTGGCTTTCTGTTTTTAATTCTATTTTCTCTCCCCATCCTAGGACTCGTGTTTTGGCCTGTGAGACTCTGTTCCTGGAGATAAACAGCAATGTCATGTAACTCATCCACTTGAACTCCGTCTTCTCCCAGCCTGAGCTCTCTCCCCGGAGGTGGCTCAGCTCCTCACGCAGTGGAGTTGGGCAGGCCCCCTTGCCTTTGCTCAGCGTGCCCAGAGACGTGTGATCCCAGGGCCAGTGTGGCTTCCACTCCCCCTGCCTCGTCCCATGTCTCTGGGCTCTGCTGGGGGCTGCCCCCGACTCCACTCCAAGTGTGGGCCTCCACGCTCTGTGAGCCATGCATGTGTCTAAACCCAAGACCTGTCTAGTGCTTCCTGAGCACCTGCTGCCCACGGGTGCTGTTTCTGTCACTTTTATATTGGCTGCCTCAACCATATTCTCACAATGGGGCCCATATTTTTGTTATTGGGGAAATAAGATTCAGAGTGATTAAGTTATCAAGTTTGTAGACTGAGTAGTGTGGTCCCTGCAGTGTGGACAGAGACTCAGGATCCCCGTCAGCACGGTCAGCTCAGATCCCCAAGCCCTTTCTCCCCAGCGCCAGCCCATCCCAGGAAAGGCACCACCAGCCACCCGAGTCCTCCAACCAGAGGCTTCACTCTTTCCCTCGCCCCCTCACCGGGGCCACCTGCAGGTCCCATTGGCTCCACCTCCTAAGGATGCTCCATCCTCCTGAGTCTCCTGCTCTCCCGCCTCCACCTAAAACGAGTTAGGATCCGCCCACGCTCCACGGCTGTCTAGTCTGTGAAGTAACTTTTCCATTTCTGCTCATTGGAGCAATCCTTCAATAACGTAAGTGAGATTGTGTTACTTCTCTGCCTCAACTTCTCCATGACTCTCCCCATTGCGCCCACGATGAAACCTGAGCCCTGATGCCTGCTTCTTCTGGCTCTTCCCAGCTTGACTCTTGTCTCACCCCACTCTCCTCGCAGCTCCTGGGCTGAGCTGCTGGGGACTCCTTTCTGTGTCCCAAATACCCCAAGCTTTCTCCCAATTCCCGGCTTTTTCCTCTGTTGCTCCTTCCTGGAATTTTCTTCTTCCAGCTTGTCACGTGGCTGTATAATTATCTGTTTGCCTTGAGCAAATGTCCCTCCCAGAGGCCTTCCCTGACCACACCACTCTCAGTCGTCTCCCGTCTGCCCTCCCCCTCCCCCTGGCTGGGATATTAGAAGCTTCTTGCTTGCAAATTACAAAACCACAGCCCGAAATGGCTTAAGGAAAATGGGAATTCACTGCTCCTGTAATGGGGGAGTCAGAGAAGGACTCTTCAGACACTCCCTTCTCCATCTCTCAGCTGGTCCCTCGGCCCTGGCCTGATCTCCTCCTGTTTCAGGGGTCATTCTCCATGTGCTCAGGACCCAGGGCAGTCAGTAGCTTCAGGTTTACGTTGCCCCTCTTTAGCTACTGGTATAAACAGCGACTCTTTTCCTGGTCTCCTAAGGAAAGGTCCCAGGTAGGAACTGCATTGACCTGGCTGCAGCCTGGGTTATCCTGGAACTGAGTTCCATGGATGAAATGACGCTGAGCTCTGACTGGTCAGCACAGGTCATTTGCTCACCCCCAGAGCTCAGTGCGGGCAGCTCTGCCCCCTCATCCGCAGGGACTAAGAACGCAAGAGGGATGGGTCTCCAAAGGGAAAATGACGAGACTGGTGGATTGATGCTGGGCGTGAGAAACTGGGTACTCACAGCGTCGGTCTCTATGTCAGTACCCTGTTTATCTTCGCATGAGGCAAAATAGTCTGCCATTTTCCCTTATTTGTTTTATTTGTTAGTATCTCCCACTGGAACATAAGCTCAATAAAACAGGGGTCTTGATTTTATTTTTGAAAGCCCTGTGGGATGTGGTTGACAACAAACGCCTGTTGAGTGAATGAATAATGGAAGAAATGCAGAATTTGAACTAGGACTCAAACCCAAGTTCTTCGACCCCAGATTTGCTCCTCTTCCTCTCTCATCTCACTTCTCTGTTCTTAAACTCACCAACTCATATGCTCCCTCTGGGTTTGCAGTTACCATAAAGGTGCCCGTGTGTCCTGGCGTCAATGAACATGGCCTGCCGTTGGTCTGTGGGTCACCAAGAGAAGAGCTGATGGAGGGTTGGTTCTCTCCATCCTCTCCACGTAGAACAGTGGTGAACGCAGAAGTCGCTAGTCTGGGTTTGAATGATTAAGTGGATGAATTCGATCCAGGAGCTTTCGTCTCGTCATTTTCCGTAGTGATACCACAAAGCGTCGTAGAGCCCCTAACTTTGTTTACTCAGTCTCCACTTCACCACCGGCAAAACACTAATATTGATTTACCTGTCTCATAAGGCTGTTGGAATATTCATTAAGCTCTTCTCTGCATCATGAAAATATTCTTTTCCACCTGTGATTAGATTACGGGAAGACTCTGTCTCCCGATTTGGCTGAACAACGCTGGCAGAGATTTCTGGCTGTTTGTCAAAGGTCGTGTTTCTTCATCTTGGACGCACAACTGGACGACTCCCCAGCCTCTCTTGCAATGAGGTGCGGCATTGTGACTTAATGTCAGTGCCTGGATGTGAGCACAGGTGCAGGGGCCGCTGCTGGGCCTGGCCCAAGGAGAGCTCCATGCATGTCCCCCAAGCATGTCCCCCATCCTCCCCCTGACGTGGAGATAGGTCTCAAGCAACGTGGGGGCCCCTTATTGGAGATGGAGTCTGCTCAGCCTGAGCCCCCGAATGACCGTGTCCTGCTGGCCTCTTGGCTCTCCAAGTCCTGTTACACGGTGAGGAGTGAGCGTCCGCTGTGGGAGAGCCATTGCACTTCTGCTGGTTTGTTTGTTGTGTTGAGTAGTTCCTGACTTCGCTCCCTGATGCCCAGTGATCTGATGAGGAGACTCCAGTGAAATCTCAGTCTTCTGATTTGTTTTTTTGGGTTTTTTTTTGAGGAAGATTGGCCCTGAGCTAACATCTGTTGCCAATTTTCCTCTTTTTGTTTGAGGAAGATTGTTCCTGAGCTAGCATCTGTGCCAATCTTCCTCCACCTTATATATGGGACACCGCCACAGAGTGGCCTGAAGAGCGATGTGTAGATCCACGCCTGGGATCCGAACCTGCAAAACCCAGGCCACCGAAGCGGAGTGTGTGAACTTAGCCACTATGCCACCAGGCCAGCCCCTCAATCTTCTGATTTTTGTTAAAGAGAAATGATAAAAAGTAGTGCCTAGAGGCTAATTGAATGAACAGAAATATGGAAATAAATATCATGGCTATTTCCAGATGTCAACTAGAGTGAGATGATACATACATACAACATCTATTCATTTACTTGTACAATATGGATCTATATTGTCATGTATATATAAATATATAAGATTATATAACATTCCAACTTAATTTCAGAGGCTGGAATCTAAGAAGACCCCATTATCAAGCAACATTGTACTTCAAAAACTAGCACCTTATCTTTGAAGCTGGGCTCAGCATTTTCCAACACAATTAATTGCAATAACAGCATAAAAGATGATAAAAACTAAAATATTCTTAGAAAAAGTGGTGTTATGTGATAATTAAACAAACTAATTAAGAACGTTTAGGGCCTCAATTTTTGATTCCTGCTCCCAAAGATTGAAAGAGAGGGCGAGTGGCATCTGAGGGGCCTGAAGTGCTGTTTAGGTCACGTGTGGCGACAGCTGGGATCCCCTCCTCCACTGTCCACAACTTCATCCTGTCTGGGGTCCTGTCCTCTGGGACGGCGTTGGCGCAGCCTTGGGTCTCCTTAAGCCCTCCTTGGCAGGGAGGACCTGAAAGAGATGACACGTTCTTTGTGACAAGCTCAGGGCTGCATTTGGGCATCCCGAAGTATTCAGCGAATGGAAACTGGAGGTGTGATAGATTGAGAACAGGCTCCCTGGAGAAACAGGACCAGTAAAGCACACGTATAAGGAGTTGGCTCACCCAGTTACAGAGGCTGGCAGGGCCACTCTGCAAGGTGGGCCAGCAGCCTGAAGACCACGGGAGAGCCAAGGTTGCGATAAAGTCCGAAGGTGTCTGCTGGAGAACTCTCTCTTACTTGGGGGAGGGTTGGTTGGTCTTTTTCTTCAATTCAGGGTTTTAACAAATTGGCTGAGGCCCGCCCACATTGGGGAGAACAATCTGATTTACTCAGTCTTTCGATTTAAATATTAGTCTCGATTTAAATGTTAATCCAAAAATACCCTTGTAGAAACACCCAGAATAATGTTTGTCCAAATATCTGAACACCCTTTGCTCAGTCAAGCTGGCACATAAAATTAACTCTCTCAAGGGAACAGTAAACTTTTTCAATAAAGGATCAGATAGTAAATATTCTAGGTTTGAGGACATTTGGTCTCTGTCTCAATTATTCAGTTCTTATGTTGGAGTGTGAAAACTGCCACTGGCAACACATAAACAAATGAGCAGAGCTGTGTTCCAATAAAACTTTATTTATATGAACAAGTGGGGAGCCATAGTTTGCCAACTCTTGATATAGATAAATAGCTACCATTAGTTGAGAACCTAGAATGTTCTCTAAGTACTGTCCATGTATAAATTGATGTAATCCTTTAAAAAATTCTCTGGGAAAATTCAGGCATAGGCACAGTTGAGTATCCTGCAAGGTTATTGGCTAGTTAGTGGTAGAAATAGTTATTGGCTAGTTAGTGGTAGAATTAGTCTCCAACCCAGGCACAACGATTCCGTAATCCTTACTCAACAAGACTCACCGCCTCCTTTGGGATGCTCTGTTCTTGCACAGATGATTGGGGAAGCTCAGGCCAGTGCGAGGCGTCCAGTCCCCTCCCATTTTCCTCCCGTGCTCTGACGTTGGGCCATTGCAGGATTGGTAGTGTCACCCACTTTTTTAGGAGCTGATTCTCTTCTTTAGAGCCCTAAGGCAATAGATGTAGTAACTTTATTTTTGTAAATATTTCTCCACATTTGGTGTAAAGAAAGGGTATTGATGCTCACTGTGTGCCAGGAGTGCCAGTCCCTGTGCTCCTAACCCCGCACTTGTTAAGTCAGTTAGTGCTCACCAACCTCTCTGTGATGGTATCGACCCCATTTGTTTCCAGACAGAAAACAGGCTCAGGGAGAATAAGTGGTATTTTCAAGGTCATATTCTTCGTAAGTGGTGCAGGTGGATTCAGCCTAAAGCACATGTGTCTGTAGGACAAGAGCTTTCTCTAGGCTGTCTCTCTGGAGTGGACACCGGGCTGTTAAAATTAACCAGAGCTCTAAGAAAGTTTTACCTCGATGTCACTGAAGAGTCTTTGGGTTTGTTTTACCAATTGCTATTCTCATCTCGAAGCAATGACCTTGATCATTATTGTGACTATTTTCACCAACATCGCTCAGAAACCAGTGATTTCTAGTGGGGTCATCCATTGTCACATTGGGAAGCATTACAGCAAATGCCCCTGTCAAGGGATAAGTCATCACTTGCATTTTGGGTTCCACTAGTTGGCAGAGGAAAAATTACAAAAAAAAAAATGGATGAAACATTCTTGAGATTTTGTTTTTCAGAATCCGTCCTTAGAACTCATATATTGAGCAATTCTTTCCAAATGCAAAATATCTCTGGCATCTGAATCCTCAAAAGTGACAAAGAACAAGATGTTAAAATTCCCAACACGATTGTTATTTTGATCAGATGTGAACTGAGCCTAAGAAGTATGACAGATACTGGTCACCATGTAAAAATGCGAGGGCCCCTGTGCCCTGGGCTTCCATCCCAGGTGGATGGAGAACATGGCAGGAAAGAACATTCTGTGCATGGACCAGAGGCTGTGCAAGGAACTTGCAGATGTGACCAAGGATGCTGAGGGACAGCTCCCTGCAGGCAGGCGCTTCCTGGTACCACAAATGAATGGACATCTGTACAGTGTTTCATAGTGCAATGTGGCAGCCTGTCTTCACTTCCCAGAAACCTACATCCATGTATTTTACAGATGGGGCAACTGAGGACAGAGAGATGAACTGACTCTCATATGTCCATATAGCAACTAAATTCTTGGCCCAGGATTTAAGCCTGTGTTTGGACAGCAATTTTTTTACCTTTTCTTGACAATTTTAAAACTCTGTCAGATCTTCTCACTGTCCTCGTAAAATTGTTGTCAACGTCAATACAAGGCTTGGGGCTAGAGGACTGAATGAGTCAAGAAGGTAAAACAGGACCATTAGGTGGGACTGTCAGGTTGGCTGTGTTGTTTGTGCTTTGCCTAAGGGCCAGGCTGGGTGGGTGGTGAGGGCTGAACCCCTCCAGGCTCACCCAGCCAGCTGCCAGCTCTGGCCATGTTAGATGCTGGCCATGCCTGAGGAAGGGGAGCCTTTGCTGCACCGGAGGCAGCGAGCCAGGCAAGCCATGTGACCACCCTCCACTGAGATGCTGGCGCCTACAACAGCGTGGTCTGCTGGCTGCAGCCCTGCTCTCAGGTTCGCGCCTGGCGCAGGTGCTGCATGAGGCAGCGGGTTGAAGTTGATGGTTCCCAAGTAGGGAAATGACTCAGGTCTCAGGGTTAGAAGGGACGTAAGGGGACTTAGAAATCCCCTTCTAGGGTCTCCTGAGCCCCACCTGTCTCCAGGTGTCTTCTCTGGGAGGGCGCTCACCACCACTCCAGACGAGCACTCAGTGGGGATACTGGGATTGTGGGTCCTCTGTAATTTGTAATGAGCGAGTGAACCACAATCCGCTTCCTTGAAGTTCTCCCTTGACTGCTCTCTCACTTCCCTTGAAGTTCCACAATTCCCTGATTCCAGATATTCTCGCAGAGTGGTGTGGAAATGTCTCCCTGTCTCCTATGGCTCCAAGCAGGATGGATCCGGAGGGAAGCTGTGCAGCGGGTACCACCAGAGACCAATTAGCAGCACACATCCTTGCCCACGTTCTCGCTCTCCCGACCCCACGCCGGGTTAGCCTGAGACACTGTGGTCCTTCGCTACTTTAGCTCACATGCTTACAGGTTTTGACAATGTCTTCTGGTAAACAACCCATCGAAACATGCTACCCTCGAGCCTCCTTCCCCCAGGGCCCCGCTAATTTGAGGAGCTAAAATGCTAATGTAAGATCACACCACCGAGTGGTTCCCGGCCAGCAAATATCTGCTTCCAGTGGAGACATTAAGTCCTCAAAATAGAGTGAATGCAAGCGTCCCCACAGTGTGACAGGAGGGGACATTTCCTATGCGGGCCTTTGGGTGACATTCGCACCCACGTGTCCACGTGTACGCAGAAGAGGGGTCTCATTCAGTGGCTACGGAGGCAGCTTTGAGGACACAGTAGGGAGCCCCTGCCTTCCTGTGGGGGACGCTCTCATCCCATTATTTGTGCATCAAATGGTTATCCGGGGCCTCCTGCATTCCAGGAGCTCAGCTGGCTCTGGGGCCACAGAAACATGGCCCGTGCTGAAGGTGCTCACGGTTCGGTGGGGAAGGCAACTCTGCCAACACTCATGTGTGGATTCTGTGCTCAGCGGGTAATAGAGGCCGACGCCAGTTCACATGGAGGCACAGGGAGGGGGTCTGGGGGCCGTGGAGAGCTTTGCCCTGTGGGGTGTGGGGATGGGTGCTTGGAAAAATCCTATGACATGAGTGATCACAGCCAGGTGGGCAAGTGGGAGAAGGTACCGCGGTGGAAAACAATGCAGTTGACTCTCAATGTTCACGGCAGTTACACTCCGTAATGTTGCCACAAATGCTGACTTAGCAAATGCTGGACCCCTGCTCCTAGGGAGCTACAGGGCTGGTGGGTGAGTCGGGGTTCGCCAGAGAAACAGAACCGATAGGCGGAGATTTATTTTAAGGAGTTGTCTCTTGCCATTATGGAGGCTGACAAGTCCAAAAGCTACAGAGTGGGCCATCAGGCTGGAGACCCTGTAAGAGCCAATACTGTCGTTCAAGTCTGGAGGCCTTCTGCTGCAGAGTTCCCTCTTGCTTGGAGAAGGTCAGTCTTTGTTCTATTCAGTTCTTTAACTGATTGGACGAGGCCCACCCACATTGTAGAGGGCCATCTGCCTTACTCAGAGTCCACCAATTTAAATGCTCATCTCACCCAAAAGCATCCTCACGAAAACATCCAGAAAAATATCTAACTAAATACTGGGGTACCATCACCCAGCCAAGTTGACACATAAAATTAACCATCACAGTTAAATTCCAGCAAACTCCTGGTCACAACATTGTCATCAACCAAACTCACCACTTTGTCTCATGTGTGTTTCTGTTGAAAGTCACCTTATTTAGTGTACGTTATTGGTTCATTACATTGAACTTGTGGCCAGCAGCATACAACTCAGGCCTGCATGAAGCTTACCTAACATGTATTTTCTCCTTAGGCCCATGGCAGCCTTCTCGTGCTGAGGGACACAGGACAGCACTTCAGCATAACACTTGGGTCCATTTTAAACAGTGAAATCACCAACAAAAGCACAAAAATGTGAAAAACATAGTGCTAAATAGATTACAAAAAGCACCCCTGTTCATAGGACGAGCTGGAACAGAAAGGCCGAGTGTCGTCTTGTTCCGTCTCAGCCGGAAAGGGCGCGTCCGGCGACTCAAATTTTTTACCGCTCTATGCTTCTCCGAGAACGACCACGAAAGCATCGTGAGTAATGAGGGATTTCAGTGAGTAGGTGCATTTGTAAATATGGAATCTGTGCACAAGGAGGATCCACTGGGCGCAATGTCTTGCGCTTGTGAAACCCCTGACATGGCTCAGATCCAGTGGAGCCGGGAGGAGGCAGTGGAGATGAAAGCGGAGGATTCAGACCCCGGGGAGGCCCGGTGCCGAGACTGCACCAGCAGTTGGACCCTTTAATCATAGGCAATCGGAAGTGAACGGAAAAGTGGGCGGTGATCAGATTTGCAGTTTAGATGTGTGGCATTTCCATAAAAATGGATAAAAGAGGGACACTGGAACCAGGGATGTCCTCCGAGCGGAGCCTGCACCTGGGGCCCAAGTGGACGTGGTGATGCTCCACGCAGGAGGGCTGGAGGGCAGGGGCTCTCAGAGGGGGCTCGGAGGGCAGAGTGGACAAGGCTGTGTGGGAGGATGAGGGCAAGGGAGGTCCTCAGTGCTCCTCCGGGGTCAGGATTGCATTCCTGGAATGGGCTCTCTTTTCACCCTTCCAATCACGGTTCGCAAGGGTCTCCCTTCCTCATGCCCTCCTTCTAAGCCTCAGGCAACGGCCGTGCTGCCCTCCTCCCCTCCGATTCTCTGGGAGCGCCCTTGGCTCCCACAGCTCCTCTGGTGCAGTGTGCTCTGCATCCCTCCACATCCCCCTCATCTGAATGGCTGCAGATCCCCCCCAGCTGTCCACAGATGGGGAAGACTGCATTAGAAGGGCCTT